GATTCCCTGAAAGGAGCTAGCCCTACCTGACCCGAGGCTTACCTTTGCCTGAGCAAACACGGTTGGTGTTACTAGGGAGAAACCTCTTGTAAAACGATCTGCTCCGGAGCCACCGAGGGGGTGTTTGTTTGTCATGCACACCAGTGGCGGGGTGTGCTTGAAAACAGTGCTCGATAAAATCCTGCAGTTCCATAGGCTGCTCTTCCCACTGTTCTGTTTCAGCGAGATACGCATCCTTGACTCTTCACCTACCTGGAATAGGTGCTGTGAAAATGGACTTTAGCTTTTAGCCAGTTGGTCCGTCCTCCCTCGAAACGGAAGTTGTTGCTTTAAAGAAATCACAGAGGAAAACTGCAGTTGTCAAAATGTCTCATTGGTACTGAATCCACTAGGTCAATATATACATATCCAACGTGGCAGCTTGCAATGGCTTTTATTGAATACCAGGCATGGCAAGCCCTGGGAACATCTCTGTTCTTTCTTCATCAGCACTGTAGTACTAACTGAGAAAGGCGATGGAGGTTCCCGTGCAGTGCTTTTCGCTTCACAGAGCTGCCTGTGGGCTGCTTTTGTTCACTGTCATAATGCTGAGGTTAATAAAAAAAACCCCGCTAATACAGTTTTTAGGGACTCTGTATATATATGTAGGTGTATATGTATATATATATATGCCATAGTCCATACTGCTGGCATAAGTGAGAAAAGCCACAGAGCAAGCAGGGGTCGAAACTGAACCCCTGCCACTTCTGTCTGAGCCTGGAATGTCCCAAAGGTGGGTCGGTGGGAAAGTTACATAATAGATGTCACTCTGCCTGCAAAAACAGCTTGGTTAAAAATGAAAGGCTCGCCTTTTATCTCTGGTGACACCCCTGTTTCTATTCTAATTTAAGAATAGAAGTGTCATTATCACAAAATTAGACATCACTTGTAAGAAGCAAAGAACGATGCTTACTGCTTTTCTGGCACAAAGAAAGCTTCCAGTAAAATAACTGATGCCTGGTCTGAGAAGCTGTTTCTTTGGCTGGCATCGCACAGAGCGGGGCTGCTGGAGGACAGCGAAGGCCTGCAGTACAGCACACCAACTCCCTAGGCTGCCACAGAGCAGGGCATGTCGCTCTTGGCATCCACGGGGAAGCGTGGGCTGAGCCTGTACCCCCTCTCCTTTGGCCACTTTGGTTCACTTTGCCTGATGAAACTAAACTCTCCAGGCCAAAGACTTCTTACATTTAACAGAAATCATAAATTCTATAAACAGGTCACACACAACACCCAAATTGGCCTCTAGTGTGTCCCTGCTCTGATGTGCTGCAGTCAAATTCATCCTTAAAAAATTCTGGGTGTCAGGATTTGGGAAGAGCTCGCCCTGGCTGGGTGCTTAGTGGTTTGCCTCCAGGAGAGGTATTCCGCATGCAGTGTTTGACAGCCTTCCCTTCTAACACGCTTGGTACCTCACTTGTCTTCAGCTGTTTCTTAGTTTTGTAGTCGGCAGTTTTAAATTATTATCTGTTATTAATAACAGTTAATAGTCATTTAGGGAATGTCAAAAACTTTACTAGTTATTTGGGGAATGTTGATTTAATAATTTATATTCCCCCCCCCATTCTCCAGTACTCCAGGTTTGAGTTTGTGTTTTAGAAGAAAACAGATACTAGTAATTAAATCTACTTCTGCGGGACGCCTGTGAAGCCGATTGATACAGAGCTGTATTTGCAGCCCGTTACTGGAAATCCTGAATAGCTGCCTAAGAGAACAGCAACTGAGGTTTATATCCTTAAAGGATGAGTATTGAGCTGTCTCTATTCGACACTATGAGATGGTTTCAGTGGCTGCACAACCCCATGCATCCTAAAAAAAATTAAATCCTGTGGTTCAGTTATCCAAGCAAAGAGTAAAGTGCTGCTGGTTACTAACTGCAGTTTGAAACTTGATCGCTGTCACAAGTGGTGTGGGTCTAAAAGGGCTTTGTGCAAAGCTGCCAAGCGAGTTTTTGTTCCTTTCTGTGCCCTAGCTGCTGGGGCCTTTTATAGGGCTTAGTTGGCGTTAAGGTGATGGACCAACTGATACTTGGAACAGCTAGTTTTATCCCCCAGATTCCGAATTGCTTGGTAGGTGCCTGTTGTAGAAACCCAACAGTTGTTTTTTCCCCGAGTCACGGTTTTAAACCTGAGCGTGCTTAAAACCAGGACTATAAATAGTTACTGCGAGTCTGTTTTGAGGCTGGATGGTTAGTGAAAAATTAGCTCAACTAAAATGCAAGCAAGCAACCAAAGTCCTAGCGTTTATCGTTTGTATTTAAAAGCTTTACTCACAATACGTAACATCTCACAGTGGCGTCATCTTGCATATTACCGGAACGCTGAGCAGCGGCCTCGCGCGACCTACAGCTTAATGTGTTTGGGTGCAGTGGGAACCAGTGTCCCGGCTGTCTCCCAGTGCGGTGGGTTGGTACTTTGGATTGTGCTCGCTCTCTTCAGGCTCAGAGCAGTAGTCCTCGATTAATGATTTCTGGCGTGGCTGGCACTCTGCATGCGGTAGGTGTGGCGTGACAGTACTTTGTTTTAACCAGGCAGTTGCCATTCTAGCACCGCTGTAAGATAGATGTATTTGTAGGAGAGGCGCTTCTCCCCTCCGGATCCCATTCCATGGACTTTTCTCCACCCCTGTAGATATTTTCCTCTTCTCCCATAACCCTCCTTTGCCTATTGGTAGATTACGGGGGTGTGGGGTTGACTGGGTGGGAAGTATTTTTTCTGTAGGAAGACCTAGTTACCCAGAGGTGCAGATCAGAGGTGAATGAGGACGCTCTCCTCGTGACGTTTGCCACCACTTAGGTTTGTGACTGGTACTCTCACTTCCACCATCTCCTGCTGCTGTGCTGCATGTCTCCTGTAGCATGAAGAGATGGGCTGTGATTTGTGGGGAGGAGGAGGGACTGACTTGTTATACTACCAGTAATAAAATATTTTGGGGTATTAGTTTACAAGATTCAGTTCACCAAGATTTCAAATTCCAACACCATTAGTCCAGCTGTAGGGTAGTTTTTTATCATTACATAGATACCGTCTTCACTATCCCTAGGCCTTGTCCTAACTCTTTGCATTATAGCAGGCAAAATGCATTTCTGTTGTCCTTGTTTGCTTAAAAATGGAAATAAACAATCCTACTCATCTGTTGCAGAAATGTGTGGACTGATAACACAACTGAAGGTTGATGCGCTGAGTTGATGAAGGATAAGTAGTAGGTGTTAGAGCTTCTATAGTGGTAGAAACTGTGCGTGAATACACCATTGCGTGTGAATGCAATTGTGTGTGAATACACAATTCATTACTTAAAACAGAACAAACCCAGAACTTACTGTGGATATTAAACCAGCTGCATCTTACTGAATAATTTACCTTCTTTTCCTTCACCCTCTCCTCTCTCAGGTCCCAAAACAGTGTTTTTCTGGGCACCTATTATGAAATGGGTAAGTACAAGGCGCCAGTTGGTGTCTGGATGTCAGTCGGAGGGCAATCTACAGCGATCCATTGAGCGAGTGGTAGTTTCCCAGCAGATATCTTACCTGACCCTACAGAAAGATTTAACAGCGAGGCTTTAATTTTTAATAGAGACAGGGATGAGCAAAATCACCCTTAACAAAGTACAGCACAAGATGTGGGGGGAAAATGCTTTGTGGAAAATTGTATCCTTTGCTGAAAGTTTCACCGAAGTTTCCTCCCATGAAACACTAACTGTTGCTCAGGGTAGGCATCAGCTGCCATGTAAGTCAGAAGTCTCAAAGCGCCTATTTCTTCTGAGACTGAGGAATTTGAAGAGTTAAGGAAGGCGTTGCTAAGGCTCAGAGTTTGAAGGCAGGTTAAAGCGTGTCAGAGCGCAACGTGATCTTGAGAAAACGTGAGCAGCCACTACCTAAAACAAAAAAAAGAGGGAGAGAAGACAATTGCCATTTTGGCTACCAGTAGCTCTCTGCTTCCTATTTAGACCCTTTGGCTACGTTTGTGCGATATGCCTGCTCCTAATTCTCTCTGCTCCCCCTAGTTGTTGTATTGGTACAGAGCCCTAAAATCATAAAGCTGTTTGATAACAAGCAAGGATATAACCTGCTCTTCCTGTCGCCAGCTGGTGCGGAAGTTTGCTGTTGTGAACCCCGGCTGTTTCTAGGCCACAGGCAACGCGTTACGCTCTGAGCTGTCGCTTGGATTGTCAGTCGAAACTGGGGCTGCAGTGGGTAACCTGCCAGAGGCTCTCCCGGGCGCCTGAGAGTACGTGGAATTCTCTGCCCCTGAAAACTGATTTCTTGGTTGGAGCCAAAGGAGTCCTTAGTGGCAGTCAGTGAACTAAAAGCATTCGGATGGGTTTTATTTTTGGGTTTGGGTGTTTTTGGGTGGTTATTGTGAATGTGAAATCGTGTTTCCAGTAGAGGGCAATAGCGCAACAAAACAAGGCAAGCGGCGTGTTTGCTAGGAACCTTCTCCGGTAGATCAGCCAAGCTATGCCTTACTTCACCTGGGAGTTTTCTTCTTTTACTGAAATTATATTAAAGAATTACTTTTACCTCAAATGAAGCTGAGTGACAACTATATGGTGTCACACCTACATCTTTACCAGCAATATCTTAGCCTCAGCTTTAGGAAGAAGGGCCTTATTTAGATCAGCTTCAACTTGTGTGAAAACCAGTTTGTTTTTCAGCTGCTTTCTTAATGAGCTCTGCTTAAACGAACCTTGTTCTCAAACTAATACAGTATTGCCTGGGATTTTACTGCAAGTCAGCTCCACACACACCCCCCCCCGCTGCGTTCTTATTCCTAGCACAAGGGACTAGAAGTGGATGGTGTCTCCAGAGCCTAATTACTCTGCCCAGATAGTGCATCCCATCTCCCGCATAACGCATATAGTGTAAGCACGGAGCGAGGACGCAACCTCCCCTCGTAAAGCGCTCGGTCAGCGGCAGGAGGCCCCGGTGCTGACTGGATTTCTCTTTACAGGGTTTGGTATGTGCCGGAATGGCTGATATGACCAGACCAGCAGAAAAGCTCAGCACAGCACAGTCTGCAGTACTAATGGCCACAGGTAAAGGCAAAGTTACTCCATGCCTCTACACAGCACCCTCTCTAAAACTGGGTGCACTTCTTTCCAAATTCTCCATCAGTATTAATCCACCTGTAACGGAAAGGCTTAACCGCAATATGCTAGCTTTTGCTGTTGCTGTCGGATGGTAATTCTAGGACAGACCTTTAGCTGTAATTTACCCTGTAAGAGTTCTGTGATGATGTAAGTTTTCTACATGCATCTTTAATTTGGAATTGTCCAGAGCAAGTCGATACGAGTTTCATCCTTGAAGTTAACAGCGATACCCCTCATTTCACTAAGTGACCTCTTTTGCTTCAGCCTAAGTAATTTTGAAACCAGTCCAGGATATAGTGACTTTTTTAGAACAGACTTCAAGGGATTAAACGACAGCAGGGAAATTACACTAGCGTAAGTGGAAAAAATTTCCACATGTTACAAGAACTTGGAGGCAGTGGTACATGGGCTGCTGCGCTGCCGTCTGCTATGAGTTGTCACGCTGGCAGAAACGATACTCCAGGTGTTCTACCAGATCTTGTCAGGGGCAGGACTTGCGGCAGCTAAAACTGAAAGGCGAAATTGCAGCCGCCACTTTCGTTCTCTGGATTTGACTTTGGTACCCGAGACAGCGCTGTGCGTTTTGCATTGTACGTAAACCCTTCCTGAGGGGTAGGTTCTCTGAACTGGTGTGACAAGTTGGATGTACTGCGGCAAAACCCCACCACCCTGCAACTGCGCTGGAGGATTAAGGTCTGTGACTGCTGTAGAGTACAGAGGACCTTTGTCTGATGTTGAGACTGTGATTGGCCTTATTGTCCAGTTATTTTGGAAAAACGCAGTACACAGCCATAGCTGTCCCACTGGCACTTTATGCGCTTCTCACGGCTAGTTATAAGAAAAGCAGGTGTCTTTATGTTTTACAACATGAAGTTGTAAAACTTGTTTACTTAAACTGGCCCATGATTCAGTCTCCAAACTTAGGGGTATGCCTGAATATTTCCCTTTAGAGACCTTAACATCTTTAAACATTCCCTTTCATTCAACAGGCCTTATTTGGTCACGGTACTCTCTAGTTATTATTCCCAAAAACTGGAGTCTGTTTGCTGTGAACTTCTTTGTTGGCTGTGCCGGTGGCTCTCAACTCTTCCGAATATGGAGGTACGTAGTAAGCAGCACCACTCTATACTCTAACCAAGCATTCACACCACCTGATCTTAACCGGGAATTCTTGAGTTCTGCCAGCCTCAGTGTCAGTGCAACAGGCAAGGGGAACCAGATCATTAAACACTGCAGAACGTTTTAGCTACACTGTTAGTTTTTCAGTGGAGTGGGAGTGAAGCTTTATATATTTTTAGTATACCTAGAGCAGATTTTAAGGAATGCTTTATGTAAGCTGTAGTTTCTGGGTCTGAGACATTCTTTAAAAGCTTTAGGTCTGACTGACAAACAGCCTAGACTTTCTCCTCCTCTGTCAGCTTGCAGTGTTGAATTGTGTCAGTACCAGCTGGACCAAAGGGTTCTTAAGCAAAGCAGCATCTTTTTATTTATTTTCTTATTATTTCTTGGGGGTAGATTTGGAGTTCTCTGGCTTCTTCAGTACGGGCCAGGAATGAAGCAAACTTAGCAAACAATAACTAACGTGAACTTTACTATCCTGAGTTTCCATGCTCAAATCCGTTGTAATTTTAAACCTCCTTTGCTGAACGCATTGCTCGTAAGACAGTTACTGTAACTGGAGTTCTATTCTTAGTGTGTGCTCCTTTTTTTTTTTTTTTCCCCCCTATAGGTATAATCAGGAGCTAAAAGCAAAACAAGAGCAGCTGCAGCAAAGAGATGCTTAACCCAACACGTCGGATCCAACAACGCACAAACCCTTCCCCATGGGACCTAGCTTCACTAATTTTAGTGATTTTTCCTCTGAGAAAAGGAAAGAGGAAATCTAAATGTCTAGAGAGCAAGTGTTTTCTAAGTGCAAATAACAAAGTATCCCATACACTTAAATAAAGTGCAACCTTTTAAATTGAAGTAAAATGATGTGTCTTATATTGTCTCTAAAAAAGAAACTGATTGTGGCTTGTGCCAAGAATGAGTTGCTGGGCCCCAGTCTGACTCCCCTGAACAGTGCCGGAGTGACACGGTACTTACTGGTGATGATCGCCCAGAGCCTCAGGCTGAAGTGATCTGCCTCCATGTCACGGTGAGACCGGGCTGGGGTTTTACCGTACCATGTTGTTGGTTTTCAGTATCGTTGCATTTCATTCCCTGACACTCTTCCCTTGGAGCGTAAGGACGTTCTTTTCAGCTTCAGCTACATCTAGCTTCATTTGCCCAGCCACTGTCTTTAACAAGAGGAAGGCAAACTGGAATATGCCACTGGTGCTCTAGCTTCTGTCATCCTTTACAACTGGAAGCACACGATGGGTGCACTCAAGTCTCTGGTTCTTGGGAGTGTGAAAAAGGAGCTGCCAGAACTCCTATTACTGACTCACCCCCACCCCCTTAAGTACATACAGCTTTCCCGTGAAGGTGTGCACTCGGGGAACATGTGCGTGTCAGTTGTCCAAAGCTTTGGAGGCAGTGCTCTGCTCCCATCAGTGGCATGTTTGTGAGCAAACACTGGAGCCTTCCCTGAAAGTCAATGTCTCTTCCCTACTTGCGCTCCTGTAAAGAGGAAGAACGGGCTGCTGTGGAATAGCTTTCAAGGCTTTACATCACCCTGCAAAAGCCCCTCTGAGAAGCACAAGGCAACTGCGCTCAGAGGATGGCGTTAATGAGCTTCCCTGGTGGGTTGTCCCAGACCTCTTCCACCAAAGCCAGGAGTCAGTACCACAGTTCAGGACTGTAGACGCAGGAGAAAGATAACTGTGAGAGAGCAGCTTCTTCAGGCTTCAGCATTTAGGAAAATGAAGGCCTTGAAATACTGGAGTTTAGTAAAGGCCTCTTATGAAGTCTCTCCCCACCCCTACTTTCCCCCAGTCTCATTTGAGTCACCACTCCAGCATGGCAAGGGTGGAGAGGAAAGGAAGCCAGCCCATAGTTACAACAGCTACAGCACCTTCTTGTGGCAGTGATGTCCTCTCTCACCCTCTGTGACACGTTATGTTGTCCAACGCAGGGTATTTGTGTAGGAAAGTTCACGGAAAACATTTCCCATTCTTCCAAGACTTGTACCCAATGGTCTGTCAGCTCCCTCCTTTGCAGGGACTGTCCTGCCACGAAGCTATTTCTCTCTTGTGTGTGTCCTGCTACAGTTTCACTCGCATTTCACAGTTCTGCTAGTTGTGGTAACATGGTTCAAATGGTGAGCTCTCCAGCTGGGTTGTGCGCTGAGCAGACAAAGCCTGTGGTCACGAAAGAGTCTTGCCAGAAAGAGGGGTGGTGTATTTCAGTCCCGCTCCCTTCCCAGTCCCTAACCAGATAAGACTCATCCAGCAAACCAGTAATGGGGAAAAAAAAGTGTATTAAAATATCCACAAGATTACAATAGAAAACATGAAAGTCCATTCAAGAAAAAAATATCCAAGATAACAGTTTCCAGATGAGTCTGTAAAAGCAAAAGCACCAAGAGTTGGTACACTGGCTCTTCATGTATTCAGGCCACGCAATGCTCATCTAGCTCCCTGACACGGATTATACACCCGTCTTACAGGTGTTTGTTCTCCTGCGTACCTCCAAGACAGAGGTGTACAGAAGAAGAGTACCCAGTCTAGGTTTCCAATTACATTTACCACATAAAACCCGCTGGCTCTGCAGGGAGACGGACAAGATTGCACGGCACACTGCTCTCCAACGGCATTGAACTTACATTTTAGAGTGCAAAAAACACCTTTAAATGAAAGGGCTTATTAGCTTTAGGCAGTGTTGAGAAAGGAAAGAGAAGCCTCAAGAAGAGTATAATTGCTGAGCACAGTTAATATGACTGTGTAGTCTCCCATAAAGAAATGTTACCTAAATAGTAGCACCGCAGGTGTGTGGCCACAGCCCAGAAGTCTTAACCACCTTCTCAGCTCTGATGGTTTTAAAGAGGAAGTAGTTCCATTGCCTATTACACAGTAAGAACGTTTTGTATTTGAGGGCCTAGGTAGATACATTAAAAATGTAAAATTCAAAGACAAGATTTCAATACAGAGTGAAGGTGTCTTGGTTATAAACCCAACGGCCCACACCTGACTTCAGTGAACCCGCTCTGAGGCAACGCAGCTCCTCAGCTGCATGTGCACACGTACTGCAGTTACGAGACAGACGGTTACCTAAACGGTTCTCACAGGTTTAAAAAAGTTGAAAATGTAATTCCAGCTCTTGTAGTCACAAACTGAAATATCACTAAAGCTTTGAGTGAAAACCAAACCCTACGGGTCTCCGGTTATGAATGACACATCACTCAGTTACAGGGACGTATCTGCCACCCTGTAATGGCTCTTAATGCCGTTTCATGAACGCACCAACCACCTCCCTCGCAGAACAACTGCTGAAGTCAAAAGGGGCAATGGAGATGCTGTACTGAGTACAGCTACTCCTTCACTTAGATTGATACTTTATAATTATTTGTAATCCTCTTCTTCCTTATTTTTTGATGAGCAGAAGTAAATTTCAGAAGACACCCACTGATAGTAAAAACCCAAAACCTTTCTACTTAGCAGTTCCGTTCACATGAATGCTGCCATTCATCTCCCTGGTCTAGGGTTGCCAGCTGGCTTAGCAGCCAGAGCCCAGGCTGGCAATCCTGAACTGCAGTCCTGCAACAAGTAGAAGGTCACTTTTACCCATAAAAGACCTTTTTCCCCCCCTCAGCTGAAAAACAGATGTCAGATTGATCCCTGTTTTGTGTGCATGATGAATAAAAGAGAATCCATTGCAAGTCTTTCACATCACACTGTCCAAGACTGATGACCCACCTAACAGTTTCAGTCATACGCTACTGTCTCAAGAGAGGATGCGCACCCCTACGCCGTGCTGCAGCAAGCCTGCCACGCAGCACCCCTTTTTAAAACAGATAGTCCTGAAAACAGCTAGCAGCAGTACTGCAACAGGACAACACACTTAGCGTTCCTCAAATCCCAAGCTGTTCCTTTCCACCTGCAAAGAACAGCGTCTGAGAATTAAGAGACTAGCAGTAGAGCAGAGTTAAAGTTCTGGTCACCATTAACATCAGGATACGATGACTTTGACTTGAATCTCTGCTTGCTACCCTATCAGGGAAGTAGAAGTCCCCTGTCTCTCGAGACTGTACTAAGTCAGGCATCAGTCTCTTTCATCAGCACAGGTTACCGTATCTGATGAAACCAGCTAAGATAACCTGAGGGACAGAAAGTTCCTGTGTGTTGTCTCACATTGCCTCAAGTCCTTTTGACTTCAGCCTAAGTCATTTAACAGCTAGTGTTTGTGTTTCTATGACCTAAAAAAAAAAAAAAAAAAAAGATAATTCAACAACCTTCACACTGTAGAGAGGGATTCCAAGTCCATCCTGCCTTTGCAAAGAGGATCCAAGCAGCCTTGCAATAAGCCTCCTCACAACAGGCAGCATGAACATACCTGGAACTTATCAAAGGCAGCAGAAGGAGATGGTTCCCAAACACCAACCACATCGGTGTGTTTCCTAACATTAGCACCAAACGAATCAGCATGTTTCTTAAACTCAGCACCAGATCAGGTTTGTGCTCAGATTCTCCAGTATATTCCAGCAGGAAAAGAAATAAACATTAGTAGCAGACTTCAGAGCCAAGAACAGCCCTATCTGCTCATAGCAGCAAGTTTGTGATCACTACATTCATCACATTTCTCCCTCTTACTCTAAAATGTCTGGAGTGAAAGATGGTGATGCACAGGGATGAGCGCAGGCAGATCAAAACCAAGTTTCTCCATCAGCCATGTCAGTAATGCTCCGTTCTTACTGTGTGTAAAATGGATGTTGAGAAGTGAGAGATAAGGAAAGCAGGATTCATCCTGATCTTAACGAGGCTTCTAACAAAGGCAGGCAGTGTCAGGAAACCAGCAAAGTGTGTTCCTGATGAAAGAATATAGTGTTGGCATACCCAACTTTGTGGGGAAAAAAATACTCTAAATAAAGTGGATGTTAAAAGGATCTGAAAGGCTCTGCCATGGGCCTAAGACTATTTTTCATTTACTTGATGTTACAGTGGAAGGTAGGCTTTAAGTTTGCAAATATCAAGCCAAAATTGTTGCAAGCTCACAGGAGGACAGGATGAGAATACAAACCAAGTTTTCAACTGACAAAGTGAGGACAAGGTCTGAAAAGGCCACACATGATTTCAGTAGGAACAAACTTGCAGACAATACAAACCCAGGAAGAGCAGCTGGCACGCCAGATGGTTGTGCTGTTACTCAGAGGGACCTGGGCAGGCTGGAGAACTGGGCTAAGAGCAATTTCCTGAAGTTCAGGAAGGAGAAGTGCAAAGCCCTCCACGTGGGAAGGAACAAGCCCATGCACCACCATGTGCTGGGGGTGCCTGGCTGGAAAGCAGCTTCGCAGAAAAGGCCCTGTGGGGGTGCTGGTGGGCACCAGGCTGAACACGAGCCAGCAGTGTGCCCCTGCTGCAAAGGCAGCAAATGCCAGCCTGGGCTGCATGCGGCAAAGCATGGCCAGCAGGCCGAGGGAGGTGATCCTTCTCCTTTGCTCAGCACTGGTGAGGCCACAACTGGAGTGCTGGGTCCAGTTCTGGGCTCCCCAGTACAAGAGAGACATGGGCTTACTGGAGCAAGTGAAGTGCAGGGCTACAAAGATGAGAAAGGAACGGGGGCATCTTTCATATGAGGAAAAGCTGAGAGAACTGGGACTGCTCAGCCTGAAGAGAAGGCTGGGGAGGAAAGAGGTGGGGAGAATCTCATCAATGTGTAGAAATACTCAGTGGGAGGGAAGGAAGAGCACTACTCTTCTCAGTAGTGCCCACTGGCAGGACAAGAGGCAACGGACAGAAATTTAAAGGACAGGAAGTGCTTCCTTGCCTTCAGGTAGAATATTTTTTTTTTTTAATTTTTTTTTTTTTTTTTTACTGTTTGATCAC